ACGCTTAGGGACTGGGCTGAAGTCACGCAATTTTTAATTTATGGGCGCTTTCCATTCGTCAAAAATTCCGGTCTGAAATTCTGGAAATTCCACGTGCCCAATTATATAGAACTCAGCGAAGAAGGAAGAATTTAGTTTTCTTAAATAAAATAAATAAATAAATTTTTCCATGGCAATATCTGAGCTATGAAGAAGTGAAACCCAATCGGGCGTGAAAACTTGATCACTATTACTTGCGCGTCATTCACGTGATTTTAATCGTTGACAGACTGGAACCTCTTCGCGACGTTGGCGACGAAGATTATTTTCAAAGTCTTCAAAGGAAGAAAGCGGTTTGATCTGTCTTCAAGTTCTTCTTTTCGCTTGGTAATACGATATTAATCAATAAGGGAAAAAGGAATTACTGTGTACAGCCGCAGCAAAGTTCCGTGTTCACTACATGTACAGGTATGTGTGTGTGACTGGCATGATACTGATTTCCGCTTTTCGATCGATTCTGCTATCATCTCGGGTTTTGTTTTACCTAGGTAAAAATTCTGGGAAGGTTTCACTAGTGATATCGGCTCCAAAAGTTTCCAAGCAAGTTAAATTTTTGGAGCGAAAATTCAAGAAGGCAAAATGTGCCGGGATCTAGCTGATCAAAGAGATGTTTTTTCTTTTATCTCGCTGTTATTTCTTACGCTAATTCAACTTGCAAGGTTAACAAAGGCGAAGACGTAGACGACTCGTGCCCCCAAAATTCTTTCACAGCGTGATCTATGTCCGGTTCTGTCATCAAGACCCTCGCCGATGAGCGTCTATTAGCTAGCAACCTCGGTTTTTTATTTTCCCCTAGCTATTGCTTTGGGGTAGCTGTCAAGGTAAACTCTATTGTTTTCGAGACATATCCAAGACCCAGACGATAAAATTTCCCCGAGGTAAGTTACCTAGGGAAAAATCGGTCACACTTAAAAAATCAAGTTTCCCTAGGTAAACTGTCAACAAGTCGTGTTTACCTAGGTAAAAAGTCTGTAGTGTGACCACAGCTATTTAATAAAAACCATAGAGCGATGCTTCGGACTTCCTGCTTGATTACCAACCGCTGTTCGGGAAAATGACCCCGCATCCACCCACTCGTCATGATCACCTCAGAGCGATCTCAAATTTAACGAAACATCAATCCTCACCTTAACACAGAGGCCACGATTATGGGGTTTTAAGAAGAGAGTTATTGGCCTAAATCTGTAACTTTATCCTGCTGTTTTGTTTTGGTAGTTTGACCAACAAGTCCCAAAAGTTAAAAATTGGTGCCATTTATTGAGTGGATCATGGGCTCCTGGGTGGATAGAAAATGAAGACCTAAGATCTAAGACCCAAAAATGAAGACCCCCTCAAACTGCTTATAAATAACTGGAAACGGCTATCTCGATCTGAGTTGTGTCAGAAATTTTCAATAAATTTGACCGGGGTGTTCGTTTTCTACAACTCCCCCCACCCCTCGCCTCCCAAATGTCGAAAACAAAGACTCCCCTCAAAATCACTTGAAAACTGCTCGAAGCGGCTTCTAGACTTAAGAGATGGGTAAGAGACAACAATATCTTCAATTATAGGAAAATTAGACCAAGGTCTTCATTTCCTACAAAACCCCCCAGATATCCCCCTTAAAATCGCTTAAAAACGACTTGAAATGGTTTCTTGACCTGAGAGTTCCTGGAGTTTAATTTTTTAAGAATTGCATCCAAATTAAGAAAGGGAAAGAAAAATTTGACGACCTGTGTTTCTGCATTTCTTGAAACGTTACACTAGGATGTTTCAAGCCGTAGTAGTGCTGTGGAGGTCACATAAATCTATGAAAAAGTGAGATGCACGTGCCGAGCTGTTGTGTTACTCATAAACTATTTTTCTTTTTTTTTTGGATGTTCCTGTTGCCGCCGTTGTTGTGGTTGCTTAGCTCCCCCATCGTCAATAATAAAGACGTGACTGCAAGCAATGACTTACAAATGCGTGTACCTTAGTGCCAACCGTTTTTCGATGGCATGGGAAACGGGAATTCAAGTGTCATTTCCATTTTTCGTTTTCGCATGACACCGAAAAACAGATTTGAATTTTGCTTTTTGTTTTTCGTTTTCGCCTAAGTTTGAAAAACGGTTTTGCACTTCGTATTTCGTTTTTTGTTTTCGCATCACTTTGAAAAACGGGTATCAATTTCAGTTTTCGAATTTCGTTTTCGCATCACTTTGAAAAACGGATTTGAATTTCGTTTTTGTTTTTCGTTTTCGCATTACTTTGAAAAACGGATTTGAATTTCGTTTCTCGTTTTCTCATCACTTTGAAAAACAGATCTGAATTTCGTTTGTCATTTTTGCATGACTTGAAAAAGGGATCACTGCACCAGTCCAGTCATTTGAAGCCCCGGCCACCCCCTCGGGGTTGACCGGGCATTCACTTTTTATGTAACTGAAAGTAAGTGAATTTTCCTCTCCCCGGGGCCAAAGTGAGTAGTAAACTTCCCCCCCCCCCCCCCCCCCCGCCTAATGATATGTCTTACACACACACGGTACTCCCTTTTTTAACAATGGATAACAAATGATATGATGATAGCCGCGAAAAAACAAGCAGCTATCGCAACACTTGCATATCCTCGATGGAGAAGGAAAATGGCGAACATTTAAACACTTTACAACTTGAGGTCACAAAATGAGAAATAACAAAAAATTACAAATTTACAAAGAAATTACAAAGTTTTACAGTCTTCTGGAGTTTTTGTAGAATGACTCAATCATTACAAAGTGTCTTTCTTGTCGTCATTTCCAGGATACAACAAATTACTACATCATAAGGTGTTAAACAATTGGGCCACTTGAACGGGGAAAAATAAGACTCGTCTAGTTAACTTCTCCAATAAGTGGCACAAAAAATATGTTCAAGGCTAAAGAAAACGGGACTCAGCTAAGACACTCCTTATATGCTCGTATAAATGGTACAGTTTGTGTCTTATTTAAGACGTGTCGTATGTAAGCCGCGTCAAAAGACACTTTACAAAGCATACATGTATTTCCTCAGCTGCCAGAAGCGATAAAAATGTATGCAAAACTACTACGCGGCGCGAAAATGGAAACGCTTACCACAGAATGACTGCCCTGCTTATTCCCCGGTCAGGGAGGCAAAGACCGGGATTCCTGGCGTATCCCCCACCTACCGGGGAATAAAAATGAAGTGATTATGAAGTGAAAGGCCCCTCATTATCGGGTCATCCCCTGGGGGGGGAGGGGGTGCGGGCGGAGTTTCAAATGACTGGTGTATTAATCCACTTTTCAAATTCATGCAAAGATGACAAACGAAACCCCAGTCTGTTTTTCAATAACAAGCAATACAAAAACGAAAACCGAAATTCAAATTCGTTTTTCAAAGTGATGAGAAAACGAAAAACAAAAAACGAAAGTCAAATCCGCTTTTCAAAGTAAGGCGAAAAACGGAATACGAAAACCGAAATTCAAATTCCCTTTTCAAAGTGCGGCGAAAACGAAAAACGAAATTCAAATCCGTTTTTCAATGTCACGAGTAGACAAAAAACGAAAAAATAGAAATGGAAATTTTACAAGACCGAAGAAAAACGAAAAATAAAATGAAATTTGAATTCCATTTTTTTATGCCATCGAAAAACGGTTGGCACTAAGGTACACGCATTCTTACAGCTCGCATTTTTCAGAAAAAAATGTGGACTACTGTCAGTGTACTGTTGCAGTTGATAGAAACAAACCCATGACTACATTATTGTAAGACCTTCGAGTAACATGCATGCATGGTGATCTATATATCATGTCAGAAGGTAAACGCAGCGAGCAAGTGAAAATACTCTTAATATGCCTGAAAATATGAAATCTGTATCTTGTTTAATATTGTCCTAATTAAATAAATAATCATAACTATAACAAAATTGTCAAATCTGATTGGCTCTCAACTGCCCTGATTTCAGCCTTAATAGGACAGTTTAATTGGACAGTACACGTCATGCCTAAGTAATTGGACAGTACGCGCCATCACGCGTGCGCTTAAATGGCCTTTTTTTTCACTACTAGCAAAACAAAATTTCGAATTTCTTATGTTTTGGTTTAAAAAATAGCCTAATGTATCACAAATTTTGTTAAAGTTATGAATAATTGGTAACAGAACTTTGTGTCGTCCAATTCAGTCTGTAATCATACTCGTGATTAAACAAATCGGACGACCGCGTAGCGGTCGTCCGATTTTGTCAGGGGGGGGGGGCCACGACTTAGCGAAATTTCGTGTACCTATGATCCACCGATTTATGGCATCACATCCGGTTGCAGAGTTGCTGCTCTGTTTTCGAGCGAAGCACAAAGATGGACGCCCGATGCTATTTGGTTTCCTCGTTATTTTTACCCACAGGCTAACGGAATTATGTATCTTGAATGCCGAGAATATTAAGAAGGTATATAGCCGGCCTTTCAAGCAAATGTCATGACCAAACAAAGAAGTTTTAGTATTATTTTAACGATAAATATCATGCAGCTGCGAGGAATGTCATGGCGAGTCTTGCGATGTTTCAAAACGAGTGTCGTTAACGTTTGCGGCTTTTGCGGCATCTGATTTAGAGAAGTCATCAATCAAAATATAATTTCCTAAGCGGAATAGAATGGGGAAAACGCCGATGGCCACAGTTTAAAGTGTTCATCGCTGGAAGGCTGGATCACGCCCCGTAAAGTTGCAGAAAGGCGGAGAAGGAGGCGAGAACTCTCCACTTCGCGCCACTCCTCCCGCTTCTCAATATAGGGTTTACGTTGATTTTTACTATTACAATAACCTCGTGCTACGTGTATAATTGAATACTAGGGTCACTTTTGTACCAGTCAGGTTCTTCACTTGTCCAATTTTAATGTAAATCTCCCATTCTTTTAGCTGACCAATCTACCGCGATCTCAGGAAATCAGACGCTGATGCTGTCTTCTCTTGAACCTACTCAGAAAGCGTCGACTACTTCAACCTGTACCAAAAATATTATGCTTCTAGCTGGAGAGTGGGGTTCATCCAAGGGCGGTCTCGCAACAATTAACAGGCAACTAGCGATAGAGCTGGCGAAAAGCTCAAATCTGAAGGTCAGTTTGTACGTTACAAAGTGCAGTGAAGAAGATAAGCGAGAGGCAGCGAGTAGTGACATCAGCATTATAAAAGCAAACGAAGTACCTGGTTATGACGAACTTGACTGGCTAGGGGTCCCAAATGAGGAATTGCCGATGATCGACGTTGTTGTCGGACATGGAGTGAAACTCGGAAGGCAGGCACAACTGATTCGAGGCTTCTTTCCAAAATGTGTATGGGTTCAATTTGTACATACCGCTCCCGAGGAGCTTGCCATGTATAAAAATTACTCCTGCAACATCTCACGAGGAGAAAAGAAGCACCATACGGAGGTACAACTCTGTGCAAGTGCTGATGCTGTGGTTGCGGTTGGGCCCAAACTGACAGAGGACTTTAAGACTTATCTCCGTCCTCATGAGCAGAAGAAAGTGTTTGAAATCACTCCCGATCCAAGTATCTTTCGCGAATTTAGTAAATGCAAACAGGCCAAAGAGGACAGGGAAAAATTCCGCGTTTTGATTTTCGGTCGTGGTGACTCAGAAGATTTTGAGCTGAAAGGCTTTGACATAGCGGCGAAAGCAATTGTAGAGCTTAAGGACCAGACGTACCATCTCTACTCTGTTGGTGCCTCACATGGACAAGAGGAAGACGTTGCAAACAAGTTACTCCACCATGGCATCCAGCGTCGTCAACTAACGGTGCGTGGTTTCATCGAAAAGCGACCCGATCTAGCAAAGTTGCTATGTGAGGTGGATCTCGCCTTAATGCCATCAAGGACAGAAGGCTTTGGTTTGACCGCCCTTGAAGCCCTATCCGCTGGTCTTCCAATTCTGGTGAGCGCAAATTCAGGTTTTGCGAAAGCTTTACAAAAAATCGAAGATCCCTTGGCTTTAGACTGTATAGTGAATTCTGAAGACGGCAAGGATTGGGCAGCAGCAATTCGAACCGTCAGAGAGAAACCCAGGAGCAAGCGATTACAAGATGCAAAGAGCTTAAAAATTTCAAAAAAACACTTGACCTCGATGGGTCGACACCTGAGCCCTCGATACAGTTAAGTGATACTGGTCAGCGGATACCTTGTTTTGACAGCTGTCAATGGATCACAACATTGATGTGTATCACTTTTCCTGTGCTCCGATCCCAAACTAGCTAGAAAGTATGAGACTGAACATTGATCGCGATCTAGTAAAATAACCGTAAAATAATTAACTGCTCAGCGGACAGCTTCCAACCAAATAAATCACGTCACCTCAATGAGTTGACACATGAGCCCGCGATATGGTCATGGGATACTGGTCAGTGGCTATCCTATTTTGACAGCTGTCAGTTGATCATATTGTGATTGTCCAATGTAAAAGATGTGGACTTGGCAAGACACGCCTGAGACACCCCTTCCTTCCTTTTGATAGTCCCCCCTACCCCACCCGTACAATCCGTAGACGCGTACGTACGCTCGGTCAATCACGTGACAACCAAAGGAAAAGAGGTTGACCATAATCTATGGTCAAATTCATTGATAATTGAGGATCTTGTTATTTGTTACACATCTCAGGTCAAGATCGATGCCAAGTTTAACTATTTATGAGTGATTTTGAAGGGGGGGGGAGGTGGAGGCTGTAATCGTTTTTGGGTCTTAGCTCTTCGTTTTCTACCCACCCGTTATTAATCATCACTTAAAGGACATGGCATAATTCGTACAAGGAAAGTAACAAACAAGATGTGCTTTGCATTATGAAAACAACGGTTCACAAGAAATGATTTTTTTTTTCACTCAACGAATATTCTCTTTAGTGCCATGATAACTGCTGTGACATGTACAGGTCCATATGTACAACTTTATAGCATTAATGTTACGCGGGTAGTCTTTTAGAGGACGGGTAGCTTGCAAACCAAACTGAACACAGGTTTGTCGGAACAGCAACAAGAAGATTTATTCCAAAAATGAACGTAGTTTCCACGAAGTAAAACTCCACAACAGCACGTAACTCGATAAACTTACACGGCCTCCGCCAACTTGAATAAACTCTGCCTTCGTCACACTTGACTAAACACGACCAACGTCAAACTCTCTTCGCTTGTGAAAACTAGTTAAAACTTAACTCGGACTCGCCTACTTATATACGTTTACAATAAGATTCTAGAACTTTCTAAATAGTCTAATTATAGAAAGATTTCAAAATATACCGCTTTAGGGACGCTTACGCAAGATCCTAAAATAAACAAACTACGAACTCTCGCGAAGCTTCTAGAAAGTCACGCTAGTCACGCAATACAATTTTTCGTAACATAACCTCCTTTCAGAAGAAATCTCCTAAATTTCCAATACAACAGAAAAATTGTAAGCTAATATACAACAGGGGTAGTCCAGTGTCTCTCAGGCTACTCTTCTACTCGACTAAGATAGTCCGCTCCAACATTCTCTGATCCTTTGATGGCTTCTACCTTGAAATTGTAACTTTGTAGAAACATGGCCCATCGCATTAGTCGTGCGTTGGTATATTTTGCGCTGTCCATGTACTTCAGCGGCTCGTGGTCTGTCTGCAGCACAAAAGGTACACCGTACAAATATAGGTGAAATCTCTTGATGCCCCATACAATCGCAAGGCATTCTTTCTCGATTGTAGAGTAGTTGCGCTCTGCACTTGACAATTTCTTGCTTGCATAACAGACCGGGAATAATTTCTCATCGTGCGTTTGCATCAAAACTGCTCCGATTCCATTGTTGGAAGCGTCCGTCCGTAAGAAATAGGTTTTAGCTGGATCGGGGAGACGTAGAATAGGTTCTCTTGTTAAGTAAGACTTGATTGTTTGGTAGGCTTTCTCTTGTGCTTCACTCCACTCAACTTTACTGGGTTGGCCTTTCCGTGTGAGATCAGATAAGGACGCTGCGATCGCCGCGAAGTTGGGGATGAAATCTCTGTAGTATCCTGCCAGACCCATAAATGACCGCACCTGTTTCTTTGTGCTTGGCCTTGGGGCATCTTTAATTTTCTCCACGTTATCCTGATGTAGACCAATCATTCCTTGCTCCAGTCGATGGCCTAGGAAATCCACACTGTTTACTCCGAATAGGCACTTCGTAGGTCTGATAGCCAATCCAGCTTGTACAAGGCGCGAAAACAGCTCTCTGAGGACTCTGATATGTTCTTCCCACGTACGGGTGTGAACCAATATATCATCCCAGTAGAAGTCGACATCATCTAGATCTTCTATCAATTTCTTCATTGCACGCTTCAGTGTAGCCGCCGAGTTAATCATTCCAAACGGCATCTTCAAAAACTCGTACGACCCGTCAGGTGTTACGAACGCAGTTTTCGGAATGTCCTCCTCTGGTATAGATATCTGCCAGTATCCCTTGCTAAGGTCAATTTTTGAAAAGAATTTGTCTCCACTAAGCTTCTGGAACAAGTGTTCAGCGGTTGGCATAGGCTCAGGATCAAATACAGTTAGTTTATTCAATTTCCGATAATCAACGCACACGCGGTTTGTGTTGTCTTTTTTCTTCACTACTACAACAGGTGACGCATACGGAGAACTGGACTCTCTGATAACTCCCATTTTGATCATGTCGGCAATATCTTTTCTCATTGATTCTCTCATGCTGTAAGGTACTGGGTAAGGTCTTGATCTAACTGGCTCGTCTGAGGTGAGTTTAATATGATGCTGAACGAGATCGGTGGTACCTGGTGCTTCAGTAAACAAATTCGTGAACTGGTTAGCCAGATCCTTAAATTCAGTTCGTTGCTCGTCCGTAAGGTTTGGTCCAGTTTTAACGTCCTCGATTGATTCCTTGGCCACGTATCCACCAAGCTCTAAAAAATCAACCTCTTCTTCCTCTGCTTCATCAACTTTAGCTGCACAGTCGACAGCATCGTCTATACTCGTAGCGCCTCCTCCAACAGCTACTGCTCCTTCGACTGTAGTCTCCTCTCGCTCAAAATACTTTTTAAGGAGGTTAGCGTGGTAAACTTTCTCCTTGCCTTTTACCTTCACCTTGTAGTCATTGAGACCTACTACTGAACTAACTTCAAAGGGACCTTTCCACTGCATAAGAAACTTGTTATGGTCGGTAGGTAGCAGCACAAGCACTCTCTCACCTGCTTGAAACTTCCCAACCTTAGACTTGCGGTCGTAATAGTGCTTTCCTTTCTGCTGAGCTTTCTCCAATTCACTATGGGCGAGCTTAAGGGTATCTTCTAACTTCTCTCGCAACTCAAAAACGTACTGGTAACTGTTCTTCACTTCAGGCTCCTCAACTTCTTTCGTCCACAGCTGTTTGAGTATAGTCATTGGTCCTCTAACAGCTCTTCCATATAACAGCTCGAAAGGCGAAAAACCAGTGGACTCTTGGGGGACTTCACGATAAGCAAACAACAGCGGGTTTATGTAGCGATGCCACTGTCTCGGCTGCTCACTACACAGTCTCTTCAGCATAGACTTCATCGTTCCGTTGAACTTCTCCGTCAATCCGTTACACATTGGATGATAGGGTGTTGTTGTAAGCTGTTTAATGCTTAGTAGTCGAGTAACTTCTCTCATGCACTCCGAGACAAACTGTGTGCCAAGATCACTCAGGATTTCTTCGGGTACTCCTAGACGGCTAAAGATATCCACCAATGCCTCTCCTGCTGTCTCCGTATCGATGTTCTTTAATGGTACAGCCTCAGGGTAGCGAGTCGAAAAATCTACCAGCGTCAATATGTACCTGTGCCCTTCTTCGCTGGGCGGACTGATAGGCCCAACAAGATCTATTGCTACTCTCTTAAAGGGCTTGTTAATTAGCGGCATCCTCTCTAACGGTACCTTCGGTACTGATCCCTTACTTACAGTCTTCTGACAAACGTCACAGGACTTGCAAAATCGAGTCACGTCACCTTGAATTCCAGGCCAATAAAACGCACTCTGGATCTTGTCTGTTGTTTTCTTTATGCCCATGTGACCGCCCATGATTGATCCGTGAGCTACTTCCATTATGGGGCGCCTCAACTTTTCAGGTACCATGACTTGTTTAGGCGGTTTACCACCATTCACATAAGGGTGCTTGTACAGACGGTACAGTACTCCACATTTTTCTTCAAATGAAATCTCCGCCTGTCCCTTCACTGCAAATCGTCTCTATCCCAGTACTTGCGTAGACTCTCATCTTCACGCTGCATCTGCTTGAGCTTTTCTCTATCCACGATAGGGCTCTCACGGCTACTTGGCACCTTCAAGGCTGTGCGTTCATCCTTTTTCTTAGCTTGACTCCTTGTAGTCACTGCACAGGCCTCTTGCTAACTGGGGTCTGGATTTTGTGCGTCCCTGGCATCAGGAACGTTGCCAATAATTAAGTCGTAGATAGGATCTGAAAGGCACTGCGCTTCTACGTGGCCCTTAAGATAAGGCGTATCAACATAAATTCTTGCTATGGGCACCTTCCTTGCAGTGTTGTCAATAAGCAGCATAACGTTAAAGTCTCCGGTGAACTGATCCTCGCCGACAAGGTCCTTCTTGACTACAACTCCACTGCAACCAGTATCTCTTAAAACGTCAACAGTCTTCTCTCCAACTCTACCCTTTACAACAGGCATCTTACTCCTTACTCCAGTTAAGGGTTCAACACAGGCATTACTCAGCAACGGGACTTTCTTGCCACAGGCTAACAGAAGCACACGACTTGACTTCCTCGGGGGTAACGTTAAGATGGGGTGACTTAACCAAACAGCCAGCACTAACTTGACCGCGTTGCACAGGGTTACCATCCTTACCTTGGCTTCCTGACTTTCGTCCACCTGATCGACAGTTCCTCGCTTCATGACCTTGCTTGTTACACAGGAAACACCTTTTAGCTAGAGTTGGGCAGTTAATAGCTTTGTGTCCGCGGGCATTACACTTGTAACACTGAAGGGCTGTTGTATCACTCTGTGCAGTCTTTGTTTCCTCCGCCTTAGGCTGTACTTGTGGCTTCTTGCTTGCAGAGCTGAACAGATGCTTTCCGTGTGCTTCTAAGTACTGATCGGCAATCTTCGCTACCTGTGCAAGCGTTTCCGGGGCTCTTTCACGGAGGTGAATAGCTAACTCTTTTGGACAAGAGTCAATAAACTGTTCTTTCACAATTAAATCTTTCAGGCCTTCAAACGATCGTTCCGTGTGCGAAAGTTCCAGCCAAGGCAACAAGTATCTATCCAGTCTCACTATAAACTGTTCAGGACTCTCGTCAACTTCCGACTTTGATGCTCTAAATTTACGACGATAGCCGTCCTCTGTAAGGTCATATCTCTTCATTAAAGCTAACTTCACCAAGGAGGTGCAAAATAGGGAACTAGAGACAGAAGCATATGATCTTCTGGGCCAGTCGTACCACTTGACTGGCAAATTTCAAGAAAGCGTAGAATACGGCGAACTATCACTGATAATTGCCAAAGCAGTGAAAAATATTCAACTGGAAAAAGAAGCGCGTATTTTTCAAGACTTGTCGTTAAAATTGAATCGAACAGGTTGGTATCATTGGGATGAACCTGATCAGATGTTCTTGGATGATTCTGAAAAGGAGGTATCATTTTACCCTATGTCAGGTATGGATGTTTCAATGCAAAAAACTAATTTTCAAATGATTTACAAATGAAGAGCATTTGACTTGTTTAGTTGGACTGAAACAGGAGGACCGGGACAGGCTGAAAGTGAACGATACAAGCTACGATGCAACTGAAATCAAAAGATATACAAAAGTTGCTTTTACACACCTATAAAGCAAATTAACCAGCGCTAAAAGTAAATAAGTAAAATTTCGGTCGGTGACGCCACTTTTCAAATCATTGCCATAACGTTCATAAGATTGTGTTCAATCTCATATTACCTCTCAGCTTCCGGTCCGTGTACGGCTCGTCCCATTACTTTTTATTTCCTATTCTTTATTCAACAAAAGCCAATCCACACTCTTAGTTTCCTTTTTCGGTTCCCTCACCCCTCGCGTGTCTCCCTCGCGCACGCCCGTTCTTTCTTTCACCCACTACTTTTAAGAAAAAAAAGTCAAAATCTCTTTAAAATAACAAAATTTAATCAACAACGTTCTCTAGATCTTTACTTCTATAAACCTAAGACAAGGAACAAAACAACAGCTATCCACACAGTTTCCATTTTTGTGACGTTTTTCTTACGTGCGTAAACAAATTTGTGTTTTAACTTAAAAACTAATTATAAGCGATTTGTTTGCACGTTAAAATTAGCTGGTTTTAAAGAATTAGCCGGGGATTTAGGCCTATCAGAAAGTGAGAAACAACGTGAATGAATAATGAAGGTAGTATATACGAGCGCTTGTTTCCATATCTCAAACCGCCCTCTCCCTTTTCACTTACACTTACATGAAATTTCTAAGTTTTTAGTTTCTGCTCAACAAATGTTGTCAAAGTGCAAGTCTCTTCAATTTTAAAGGAAAAAGGAGATTTTAAAATTACGAGCAGGATTGGATCCCGGAGTGCCAGGTCCGCAGTCTCCTGTCCTAACCAGTAGACCACCGAGGGTTCACTGCAGGAATTTGGTTTGATTTAAGTAGTATAGCGAAAACCCTAACCCTAAATAGAGAAGCTAACCATTAACCATAATCAGTATTTTCAGTGCTTACCCCTTATCAGTACGGTCAGTGCTAAACCCTAATCAGTATTGTTAGTGCTTAACCCTAATCAGTATTTTCAGTGCTTAACCCTAATCAGTATTGTTAGTGCTTAACCCTAATCAGTAAAGGCAGTGCTTAATCCTAATCTGTAAAGGCAGTGCTTAACCCTAATCAGTAAAGGCAGTGCTTAACCCTAATCAGTAAAGGCAGTGCTTAACCCTAATCAGTAAAGGCAGTACTTAACCCTAATCAGTATTGTTAGTGCTTAACCCTTATCAGTATTTTCACATACTTAACCCTAATCAGTATTGTTAGTGCTTAACCCTAATCAGTAAAGGCAGTGCTTAACCCTAATCAGTAAAGGCAGTGCTTAACCCTAATCAGTAAAGGCAGTACTTAACCCTAATCAGTATTGTTAGTGCTTAACCCGTATCAGTATTTTCAGTGCTTAACCCTAATCAGTATTGTTAGTGCTTAACCCTTATCAGTATTTTCAGTACTTAACCCTAATCAGTATTGTTAGTGCTTAACCCTAATCAGTAAAGGCAGTGCTTAACCCTAATCAGTAAAGGCAGTGCTTAACCCTAATCAGTAAAGGCAGTGCTTAACCCTAATCAGTAAAGGCAGTGCTTAACCCTAATCAGTAAAGGCAGTACTTAACCCTAATCAGTATTGTTAGTGCTTAACCCGTATCAGTATTTTCAGTGCTTAACCCTAATCAGTATTGTTAGTGCTTAACCCGTATCAGTATTTTCAGTACTTAACCCTAATCAGTATTGTTAGTGCTTAACTCTAATAACTATTGTCAGGGTTCACTCATTTGTATGAAATTACTTTGTGTAGGCATCACAAGGTATCCAAGGGCGGTTTGAGATATGGAAACAAGTTAGTATACACTGGGGCCATTTCCGAGTTGCTCCAATCGTCTATTTCAAAGCGAGGCTAAGCGCGAAGCGTGAAATTCATTATCACAAGAAACGTTTCGCTCTTAGCCTAGGTTTGAAAGTGAGGGTTTTGGAACTCGGAAGTGGCAGATTCTAGATCTTTTGAGTTGATTTTTCATGCAGTTTATTGCTAAGGTGCAACTTCTAGTATAATTCCAGCCTTAAAAAATAGCTTTGCTCACTAATCCTTTTATGTGATTAAATTAATTCCCTTGAATTTTCCTTAATATTTTCTTGCAATAATGTAACCAAAAATATGGAAACTTTTTTCTTTGTTGAGTGATAACTGCATTACAAATGTTTTATATATCTAGTTCCGAAAGAGGTCATAGCACGAGGTCCAAGAGCAAAGCTTGCTTATGAAAATGCTTTAAAAACTGGAAAAGTAAAGGTTTACCGAGCACGAATCATGCTGTTAGGTCAAGATCGTGCAGGGAAGACAAGTTTGAAAAAGTCCTTCTTAGGTCTGCCTTTTGACCCTGGGGAAGAAAGTACTGACGGAATTGAAGTTGATCCCTCGAAATTCGAAGTGGACATCGATCAAGTGAAGAACTGGAAACGCACCGATGAAAAGCTAGGAGTGCCTCAATTTGCTTCGGATCTTGCAAAGATGGTAGCTATGGAACTCCAAGAAATTAACGACGAAGCTGAAGAAGGAGGAAATGTAGCAAAAAATGACGAAGAAAATGAATTGGAAGAAATGCTGAGAGATGTAAGTCTATTTGAGGTAAGCCCATGAAGAAAAAAACAGGTCAGGGTCCCGCGGAATTCGTGGAGGCCATAAAACCGTGTGGGCGCAACTTACAATCTCAAATGGCACGCCCGTTGCACTTTAAAAACGAAATCGGTTTTGAAAACAGAACAGTTCCGACGACAAATCTGAGCAGCGGTTACATAAAAAGAAAGCGTCGGGGGTCGGTAGAGTTCTCTCTCATTCCTTTCTTTTTTCTTTTGTCATGAGAGGCCTCTGCTAGCTGGGAAGTGTAAGATTTTGGGCCCAAGTAGCTCTTTCTAAATTGTTTAGTTTAAGGTCGCGGGTCTCATTGTTATGCATTTATTTAAAGCGTATGCACGAAGTACAACGACTGATATCGACTTTTTTTACGAGATATTCATAAATAGATAAAAGATAAGCGCATAATTTAAAGCCTTCACGTGCACGTGTGGCAAGGATACTACGAACCAAATGTTTAAAGCTATTTCGAGACAGGTTGTCGGAAAAATGTGCACGCGACAATCCCGAAAGGTAATATGGGATATGATCAACACGCTGTTCCTGACAATGTAGCTGTCGAAACTCTATTGCTGCTTTCCTTTAGCACTCGCAAACATACGTCCATGGCCTCTCGTGCCATTCTTTTAAATTTCTTTGAAGAACAGTGAACTCAAAACCATCCACAATACCTTTCGGGATTGTTGCGTGCACTTTTGCCGACAACCTTTCTCGAAATAGCTGTATATTCAAAAGTAACAAACGGGCTCTGAATGGTAGTTAACCTTGTTTCAGTGATTTTTAAATCAATAAAACTAAGGAACTCTTTCGAAATTTCAACCAAATTCAATACCAAAATAAATTCTTTATACTTTTTTTTTCGCCTCAGAAGTCGTTGAAAACATTGCAGCTTATTATAAACAAAATTAAAGCTTGGAACTCGTGCTTTAGGCGGGACACATTCGGTAGTATCAAAATTTGACTTTCCGACAATTTTGTGTCCAAGAATTCAACACAGATACAAGGGGTAAACTTGGGGTAAACTCAGGTACAAGATACAAGGGGTAAACTTGGTAGACTACAGTGTGTCATGTATAAAGCGGAATTCTAAACGAGCGCTCTAATAAAAAGATATAAGGCGTTAATTTCAGGGATGACAGTTTTTGCTTATTTTTTTGTGGCCTAGAAATCACCCAGGCAAGTGATTTTTAACCTACTTTTTAATACGTTCGGTGTGATTTACTTCTGTATTTTTTTTCTTGAGACTTTCCAAAACGTAAATTGGCGGAAAAGTGTTTAGATCTGGTGCCCTCTACGATTACGGCTGCATGGCTTTCTCTTCCGCATAAGCTCCCGCTGGTTATTACCAAGAGAGAATAGATCTTAGCTCATTCTCTCTTAGTATTACATTAAAAATAACAACAATTAAAAAAAACCTCTATACGAAACAAAGAGGCCTCTGCGGAGAAGAGAGGCTGCATGAGGAGAGGTTGATGCCGAAGTTTTTTTTTAACTGGAAAAATTTTCGGGTGTTTTGCATAGGTGGTCGCCTATGGAGGACGATCGCATAGAGATTTTTTGCTGTATGTTTTTGAAGCAGTAGCATTTTAACCTCGTAAAATCGTTTTAGGGTACATTTGGTAAAGCCGTTGAAAAGGAGGCAGATACAGCCGTCCCAGCTGACGTAAAAATCGACCCCAGTTTGCCTCCAGCGGAATTTACAGATCATCTTGTTCAACTTTTGGGAAGCTTGAACCTTGAAAGTGATACAGCAACAGTGGAACATCATATGACCCTTGATTTGTGGGACTTTGCTGGTCAACATCTTTACTATGCATCTTACCCAGTTTTTTTATCCACTCGAGCAGTTTATATGCTTGTGTACGATCTCAGCAAAGGATCAAAGGAAACCGCTCAGCCTTGTTTCAAACAAGGAATTCGGAAAATTCTTCTCAGTAATCCAAATAAGGAAACAAATTTAGAAAACTTGTTGTCGTGGCTGGTCTCTTTAAACACTATGTGCTCGCTAAAACCGGAAGTGAATGACAAGAAAACCAAAGTGGAGAACCTGCCTTACTGTCGCCCTCCAGTAATCATCGTAGGAACACATGCAGATAAGCCATATCAAGACATCAAGGAGGTTGAATTGCAGATTCAGCAGGAACTTTCTGGAAAGGATTACGAACGTCACGTGATTCGTCCTTTCTTCTCTGTCGATAATACTCAAGGTTCAGCTGATCAGGGAGTTGCCGCACTTCAGAAAAGAATGATTGAAGTTTTGAAGCAAGAACCATACATGGGAGAAGAGGTACCAATTCGGTAAGTTATTTAGTTAAGAAAAACACTTTCACCCTATTTTAATGTTTGTCTCATGATGTAGGCACCTCGACGTTATGACTGTTTACTGCTTGTCTGCTTCAGGTGATAAGGTCGAATGATTAGCCAGTACTTTTTCTGCCACAATGTTCTTTTCTATTTAAGTAAAGTCCTGTTGGCGGATTTGCCATCCTCATTTGGTGTTTCCTTACCGTGAACATCCACGCATCCACTATCCCTGTTGAAGTTATTAGGGTGAAGCCTTATAATGTAGATAGTTTCAGAGTTTCCATTGCCCTACGGGAGTACAATACCAGCGAGTCTCTATAGATCATCTTTACCTTGTTCCAAAGCAGTCGATCCGGCTTAACAAGGCGGCGCGAACCGAACGATTTCCCGTGAGTGCGGCAAAATTTTCATCGGGGAAAAAGGGAAATCTTTGCAGGAGAAAGTAGATGCTCACCGAACCGGCTGTTTTCCCCTTTACAACGATATAAAATTTATTGCCCCTGCAGGGATATCGCCCAGAAGGCCAAATCCGAGGAGGCACTCTAGTAGCTTGCGCGTATATTAAGGAAAGTACTTACAGTTGAAATATACAGTCCGTATGCCAGAAAAAACCTCGATTTGCTTAAACAGGGGCCGCGAGGAATCGCTGGGTAATGATGACGTTTTCTATTGTTCGCGCCCCCAAGTAAGATATGGTTAGGATGACGTAAAACAGAAAATCCCGAAGTGACGCTATAATTGGTAAATTTTGTGTCATTTATTGTACGGTCATACTTCGATAATCTTTTGCGTTACGCGTTATCGGTGATCTGACATTCTGGGAGCAGCTGTTTTGAAAGTTATGGACCAAAAGACGCTCGTTAAGAGCAGATGAAGTTATAAGGTGCGTATAATTGTGTATATACAAACACTTGAAGATTTTGCCAGACACGAGTTCACAAATCTTTCATTGGAAACAATTTGCCAGACAATCTTTCTCTCTCTTTGGGGAATAACACTCAGTCCACAAACAAACAAGACGAACAAATCAACTGCTAGCTTATTACGAGCAGAGCGATGGGCGATTACAGAAATTCGCTGCCAATTAAATTGTGTCGACTTATTTCAATCCCTGCTTACAGATGTCCTTCTATAAAGTTTAAATGAAGACAGTGCATGGAACCTTGCGTTTTCCTGTTTTTATCTCACCTATTGTATGGAATATTTGTGAAATATCCTTTATGAATCGTTATATTTGAAAGAGCAACAACGCAGAAGATACTATTGACTGATAATATACAGAGCGGGGGCAGCTGTAGTGTCACCCATTACAAGTTAGTTTGGAGTATTGAACCTGGGCCTTTCAACACTAACTTGATTTATGATAGGGTAGTGCCGCTTAGCTTAAAATATACAACATCATGAATGTAAAAATTGGTCATTATCTATTAATTTATCGTGTACAGATGCAGCCAAATGTCCCTCAAAATGATATAATTAAACTCTTTAAAATATTTTTCGGTTTTTCTGTTAAACTGTAAAATTTTTCATGCATCTGCTACTTGGAAGGAACTAATTCGAAAATCACTATGTTTGCTCATTTTCAGGAATATCACAGAAATCGTGAAAAGAAATTAAGAGTTTATAATTTATGCTTTTAGGGGACGCTGTCACAAAATTACAAACGTTTGTATGGATCTTTAACCATGTTTCAAGAGTCATAACTTGATCCCTGTTCAACCTTAGAGCACCAAACTTGGTCAAATAACCAATATCAACATGACCTTTTATATGGCTGGTGTCAGTTTATCGATTATTTTAAATTTGAAACTAGCCCCAGTTCCCTACGCAACTCCGAAATGGCCAATACTGCAAATGTTACCTAGATTGTACACATATATTGAAGATCATACGCGGCTCCTCGTGGTCGAAACTATTGCACACAATTTCTTAAAATAATTATAGTGTCATGATTTCACTAGTAATTCCTCGTTTAAAATCCATAGCGTTGCACATGCAGCGAACATTAGATCTTTTTAAAAAAGCTTGTGGTTAAAGACAAAACTCTTTACCTTTAATGACCAGCGATTGCACGGTGCCGCATTATCGAATTTGCACCGAAAGAGGATCAGGCTCCTATGTTAACTGGTTGAAGTCGTCCATTTGCTTGGATTTTTTACTTTAGTGTTAGAGATCCGTCATTGTTCAGTTATGCTTTAACTTCCCCTTTAAGATCTTGTTATTTTATTTGGCTTTCAGATGGTTTAACTTCGAGAAGGTTGTCAAAGCTTTAATTGCTAAGAAAGTGTATTATTTAAACCTCGAACAACTTCAAGATATTATCCAGAAAGTTTGCTTCATTGAAGACGAGGATGAAGTTGCCACCATGTTAGATTTTTATCATGACCTTGGCATGATTGTCAGGCACCGCAACACAGTTGTGCTTCGAGCTCAATGGCTCATTGAGGTCTTCAGACAACTCATAACCATTCGTTCTTTTAACGAAATGGTAAGTGAAACATATTCAAGTCCACATTTACAGTCTTGTGGAGGATAATGACTACAAGCCCCTCCACAGAAAACAACATCCCACACCGTCATCATCATCATCATCATCATCATCATCATCATCATCATCATCATCATCATCATAATAATAATAATAACTATAACAAAATTGTCAAATCTGATTGGCTATCAACTGCCCTGATTTCAGCCTTAATTGGACAGTTTAATAGGACAGTACGCGTCATGCCTAAGTAATTGGACAGTACGCGCCATCACGCGCGCGCTTAAATGGCTTTTTTTCTCTGCTAGCAAAACAAACTTTCGAATTTCTTGTATTTTGATTTCAAAATAGCCTATTATATCACAAATTTTGTTAAAGTTATGATTAATTGGTAACAGAATTTCGTGTCGTCCAATTCGGTCTGTAATCATACTCGTGATTAAACAAATCGGACTCCCGCTACGCGTTCGTCCGATTTTGTTAATCACTCGTATGATTACAGACCGAATTGGACTCCACTCAGTCCTGTTACCATTACTAATAATAATAATAATAATAATAATAATAATAATAATAATTAGTATAATAATAAAATCTTTATTACAAAACCTCAATTAAATTCCTATTTACAATCAACCTGCTGTTACAAAAAATCTAATTAATTCATCAAAACACTATTCATTTACCAATTCTAAAAAATAGAAGTAACTTAACCTTACATAAAAGCAGAGGAAATAGATATGATTAATAATAAAAGTTCAAAATTCTATGAAATAAAGAATTCCATTATGCAGAGATATTAAGATCGTACAATCGGATTATACTAATGACGGCTAAACCAGTGCCCATAAAAAGCCCTAAGTATAAAAGCATATAGACACGTATTTCAGATATCCGCACTGGCGACATTTATTTTACAGTCTAATGATTGCTCTATCTTGCTACGAAACGGCGTTCGCGAACCTCTGACGCATGCATGTACCGATCTTAAGAGTTCAAACGAGATCTGTGTCCTGAGCCAAGTGATTACAACATGATAAGGCTCGGTGTCTTTCTGAGCTATCTTGTCTGCGAGATGCTTTAAGAACCGCTGACACTCGTTTCCCATTCCGCCATTGGTTCCAAACACTAAAGGCGTAAACGAACCCATTTCTACATCTAACACCCGCTGCTGGTACTTGCGCTTCTTCTCTTCTTCTTGCTCTTTGAACACTTCCGATGTTGGCTTGCTCTGGTAACACTTGGAGTTGACGTGCGTAACTCTAACATCAAAAAATGCCGTAACTCCTCTTGCCCAGAAACCTCCCGCTTTGATGTCCAACCTTGCCTCAGAACTTGTAACAGCGCTCCTCAAATGAAATCGCTCGTTGTCCAGGGGTTGAAGGCGTGGTTCGATTTCGACATTATTGCAGATCTTGTCGATGAATGTCGTTAACAAGTTCCGTACACCATCATGTCTCTGCGCTACAAACCCCCCCTTTTTACAAGAGAGGGCGTGACTAACGGTGAATTTATCCCCACATATGCAATGACTTGGTAAATCGACTAAGGGTAAGTCATAACGCAAGCGTAGCGAGTCTCTGAACTCTTGCTTGTTGAGGGCTAAACCTTTGTCTGCGAGAGGCATCGCATTCAGCCAAGAACTTGCGCCCTTGTCCCTCGATTGATTAACCAGACGCAGCAGGCCTGGGGAGAGGCTTGAATCAATGCTATCCATTTTCTCTTTGGCACTTGCTCTCTTAAGTGATTGTTGATGCCTCTTTAGCTCCTCCGTAGATCTTTCTCCTGGCACCATGATGGAACTCTGTGATGTAATAGAATCTACGTGGGCGGTGGTTATTAGTCTCGAGGCAGCAAACTGCTGCGGTGCCTCGGATTTCAGATCAGGAATGCCTAGACCCCCTTGACCCGTTGCTAAGGTAGCAAGTCTGCGCACCTCGTTAGGGAGAGGCTCTGATTGACCGAACAAAGTAGGGAGTAGTAAATCTTCAATCACTTCCTGGATTGGATCGACATAATCTTCAAACGATTCAATCGTGCGCATGAAGTAGGTGAACTTCGACTTGTAGCCTTTTGTGAAAGCAATATACGCCGCATGGGGCTGGCTCTTCGCTATTTCAGAGAGACGTTCGATTTCCTCTTTCCATGCACGAACCTTCTCCTCACAATACTGATCTTTGTATTCTTGCGACGCAATAACTGCTCCCAGATGGCGCTGACCTTCAGTCGTTATGTTGACTTCCTCTCCAAACACCCTCTTTGCTTCCTCCGCTAGTTCCCTAGACTTCACAATAAGCCAGCTCTTTGTCCCATTCACAAGGTAACCAAACTTTTGTCCTTCCTTACTCAATTGCCTGTACCAGTTGTATAAGTGCACTATACTCCCTCCTCCAGCTGAGTCGTCTGCAAGCCACACCTGTTTAACCAATGGGCAATGATCCCTCAAATTCTGTATCATTATGGATGTATTAAGTGCATACCATGGCATCGCTAGCGGATCTCCTTGTGTGGTGCCTTCTCGAGAAAGTATTTCACCTCCCCCACAAATAAACAGTCTAGATGGGCTTCTATATGTGTTAATCACATAGAGCGCCATTTCTTTGCACATGATCTGGATATTGTGTAAGGCCGCTGACCTATTCATTTGGTTAAAAGCGTTACTAGCATCAATTAGCAATATTCCATCTGTTCCTTCTTCAACAAACACTTGACTCATTGCATGGATCGCAGCCTCCGCTCCTGCGTTATGACCAGCGCAAACTTGTAGGGGACCCGCCGCTTCTTTTATTTCCTCCTTTAAGAAACCGCTGACCGTTTTCCCCACTATTCTCCTCAGTACCTCTCCAACACCAATTGGTCTGATTCCCGGGTTCTTATCCAGCGGGATAAGCCTGCAGGACGTGAAAGCTTCAAGTAAGGATGGGTGGTACGATTTCCTTAGCAGATTTCTTGTGAACACGGCTAGCTCTTCTCTCAATATTTTGCCCTCGGTCTTGAAATTCTTAGAGCACAGGATTCTCTTATACAGCTCTGCGTCCATTCCAGATGGTCCGGCTGAGCCCTTGGTTTTACTTGCCGAGTTGTAGATCGATTCTTCGTCTATGAGGTCATAAACATTTGGCGGAATATAATCAATTGGGCCATGTAACAAACTCTCCTCTGCGATATCAGCTGCCTGTGGGTGCTTGTCCTGTAGCCCTTGCAGGACATCTGGCGATAGGTCGAGCAGACCGGACGCGCTCTCGTTATCTAGGAGTTTCATTGCAGCTGTCAATTTTCCTTGCAGAACCAGCTTTGAGAAGGCTTTGGATATGTCTTTAACCTTTCTAGGTTTCTTGGAATTCACAAATTTCCCTTGAAAGAACCTCACTTCTTTAAGCAGCAAATCAATGTCCCCTTGTTTCCAGAGTGCTAATCGACGCTCTATTGCTTCAACATGCTCCTTGCTTTTGGAAGTAGCGGATGGTTTTTGCAAAATCAAAGTTGGGAGCACCATGAATGCTTTAAGAGCGACCGAGTTCAAGTCAGAGTCAGAATTAAATTGCTTAACCCAGAAGGTTAATTCTTCAATGAAACTCTTCCCTGCGCGACCCGATGACTTTATTATGACTTTATTATGACTAATAATAATGGAATTTATATAGCACTTTTACATCGCTGTTCTAGGCGCTTTACAATGTAAAAAAGGACATAAGAATATCATTGATCACGAGCTTACATATAACACTACTGTACATATTGGGAAATTTATAGCATGCACATCTTAAAAAGGAAAGAAGACAAAAACGAATATGATGAAACTAAATGTCATATACCTTTTTAAAAAGAAACGATTTCAACTTAGATTTAAAAAGATTAACAACAGAACAAGCTCGAATTTCAAAGGGGAGCTTGTTCCATAGTCGGGAGGCAGCAACGGAAAACGCTCGCTGCCCATAAGTTTTCATGTTAAAATTTGGTTCTTCAAGGCGTAAATGATCCCTTGATGACCGTAATGTCCTTGATTGATGGTAAAATTTTAAAATATCTTCAAGATAACGGGGACCGGAGACATTCAATGTTTTAAAAGTCATAAATTCCCTGCATTGCCATAGCCGCAGAAAAACCGCGGCGCATTCATTTACCTAGATGATGATTATAGACTTTTGATTATCTTAAACCCAAAAGACCAACTTGGCATGGCAGATGCCCCCCGAAAGGATCCAGAGCTTTTAGCTTACAAATTTTCTAGAGTTAAAGGCAATGATTAACTTCATTAGAGTCATTTTAGTGTCGTTTTTTGTTGACATATGTAGTCTTAAAACTGGCTAAATATTAGTGAACCCTAGTCACAACAATTAAATGTGTGCAACGAGCAAAGCGGCAGACAACCCAACCTTTACTTTAATTCATGTGATTTCAGAACCTGACATACGAGTTGGAGCTTACCCTAACGTCAGACGTCTTATTTATGATGTCAACGTCATTAATGTGTTCCACCGAAAAAAGTGTATTTAATTATTTCACGAACAACGAAAAAACAACAAACAAAGGAAAAAAAACCGTACGATATCCCTTTGCCGGCCTGCCTCTTGCACATTTAAAATCTAAATGGTATCTGGTAAAAGGATAACCAGTATTTGTCGTTATCTGCTGAAACTCAATATATTATGTACTAACGTACCAGATGTATTAATAAATGTATGGCCCTGAGCTTTACATTGTCTCTCCAACTATTACGGGACTTGTACTCCAAGTATTCGAAGTGCTCGAAGTTCGAGCCCCCCCCTCTTTGGGAACTTACTTCAACACCAAATCCATACTTGTTTTAATGCTGGGTTATTTCGCCCCATGCAGTACATCTAAATACTCTATTTCTGCCTTTGTAGTAGCACCCAAGAAAAAGATAACAACGCTTAGGTCGTTAATAAGTGTGACGTTTTGTTGATCCTTGATTCCCTGAAGAATTGCCTTCTTCGGTTTTGTCAGGAACCGAGACATTCCCAGTTATGGAAAGAAATGGAGACGACAGGTGCCCTACACATGGAGCTAGTTGATCACGTGTTCTCTAAGTGTTGTCAGCAGCAAGGCCTGATCAAGGAGGATATCCTGAACATGATGGAGCAGTTTGGATTGATCGTCAAGTTTATAACGTCGCCGACAAATGAAATGTACTTTGTACCCTGTCAACTGAAGACACCACCTGAATTCCTTTGTGAAATGGAACTATCACCTTCAGATCCATGTTCACTATACCTTCATTTTAAATGGGGTTTTGTCCCTCACGGTCTTTTTTGCCAGCTCGTGTCACGGTGTGCTGGATGGTATTCTGAGAGTGGTTTCAAGGAAACACCAGATTTTTTCGATGGGGCCGCCCGGTTTTTCATAGGGAAGAATTCCTTTCACCAGTTCATTCTTTTATGCAGGAAAAGATTTATCAAGATCATCTTGACGCAACCAAAGGGAAGTCATCGTGAAAGAAACCGAGCATCGTTCGCTGAAACAAACAAGGTGGCTCTTCTTGTTCGAAAGTTTTTGGAAGAGACATTGCAGACCCTAATACGCGAGCTGTCGTGGTTGAGAAACCTGAAGTGTGACTGGTGCGTCGCATGTCCTGGTTGTCTGCGACATAAGCAGGTTTGTTCTATCCACGAACAGAAGTGGTGTACTCACGAGGACTGTCTGTGCCTTCTGAAAGTAGAGGGGGGGATACCAAGGCACTGTCCAAAAAGACTTGAGATGCCGACGCTGCCTGGACTGGAAAAATGGTTCTCACTAGAAGGTAATAACATTTCTGTGGGGGTGGATAAGTGTCTTATAACAGTACCTAAGTACATTTCAACATACGACTGACAATGTCATGCATGATTCTCCCATAAGAAATTTCATTAATATTTATTACCCTTATCTTGCTCATCACCCTCCAAATCCTCGTTTTTCTTTTAGGGCGGAGTCTTTCAATTCTGAACAGATTTACAAGTTTACAATTCCGAAGCGAGTTTTGGCATGATTGTTTGGGCTGTAACTTTAAAATCTATTTATAGGGCCATTCAAAGGCCCAAAAGGTCGGAGCTTATCCCGGCTTCCGTAGCATGAAGCATATCTAGGAGCATTGCTACTCCCCCCTGGACGAGATGCTAGTCCATCGCAGGCTTACCCCCCAGCAGTATGAGCAATAGATCCAAAAGAAAGGTGTCTTTTTACACTCCTCCGCTTTCTAAGAGAATGAAGGATACAGGTATCAGTTATTTTTTATTATTTTATTTTTTTAATCAATATTTATCCAGGGGCATCCAATTTAGCAGAGCTAGTTTAAATGGAGCCCTGACACAAAACACACAAAAAAGACATTAAAACATTTAAACCAGACAATTAATTAAGTTACAAAGGCAACATGTACCGCAGGCGTTACCGTTTAAAATGGCGCTTTAGCTTGATTGTAAATTCACTGAGGGTCTCTACATGTCTAATGATTCTTGGAAGGGTGTTGTAGGTCCGAGCACCGTTTATTCTGGAGCTACCTTGGTATTTAGTAGTTTTTTATGTTACAATTATTAATGATGCTTAAATTTTAGCTCTTTAATTGAGAAGTTGGAGGGCTTTAAATCATAGATAAGATAGAGCATATGGCAAAAGACCCTAAAGCAGAGAAACAAGAAAAAAAAACTGTGTTAAGGTCTTGTTCGCTTTGGATTTGTCAGCCACAGAAATGTACAAAACAGAAGCTACCCGGGTAGGGTACTTCCAATAATGGCCTATACGGGAAGGCTCCGCCCTAAGGGGTACCTTTTTTAGGCTTCAGCTATATGCTTTTTATGGCTGTGAAAAAGTCGATAAAGCGTTCTGGTGTTGTCGTTTATTCATATTTTAAAGGACAGTGCATTGAACTAGATATGTGAAAGGGATACCACATGTCAATAGAAGGTATGCGAAAGGAGTACCTTTACTGCCGAAAATGGTATATAAAAGAGTAAGGGTTTGGACCTCAGGACGGAGCCTCCCCGTGTAAAGCTCTGTTGAGTACCCCCCCGGGCTAAGCTATCAAAGATTATAACTGATAGTGTTCTTTTTCATTAACAGCACTGCCTGTTCTTCGACAAATTGAACTGGAATCCAAGGAAGGGACTGGCAAAACTGAGTTGTCGGTGAATTTCAGGAAGAACATTACGGAAAAAGGCTTTGTGGTTTCTAACAATCGAGGGGAGGGTCACTGTATGTTTTTTGCACTTTCGGAACAGCTCGGCCTTATAAAAGGAATTGAAATCTCACATAGACAGTTACGGAAAACCGTGGTCCAATATCTCAAGGAAAACCCTGCGCTGGTATGTTAATTGTTGCCAGTAACTTAATCATTCTGCTTTAGCCTAGGTCGAAGACTCAACGGTTATTCAAATTTGCTGATCCTTGGCGAAGATTTAATATCTTTTTGGCTATTGACAGTCTATTCATTAAACTTCCTTTCATTTTCTTTGAATTCTGGCATATCATTTGTAAATACCCTAAATTTCTGGAAAAGTTCTTATGAAATTACAAAGTGAGTTTTTTCTCGCTTATATTTTCTAGATACATTGACTATTCGAAATTGAAACTGTAGCCTGCGAGCACGCTTTCTAGTGTAGAGTCTTAAGCGGAGAAAGCCAGAGTCGAACAAGGTCGCGAAAATAGATATTATTCACGATACGGCCTAGGATACCGCCATCTTTGAACGCGCTTTAGGATGGATGGGATAAAAGCAATTTTTACGCGGTATTTCAAGGGGCAAACAAGTGATAAAATTTGCCATACCCCCGGGGGAACTCGACCAGTATTTGGGTATAGTTGAACCTCTGAAGGTTTGAAACCCTGACTCTGTTTAGGACAATTAAATCCTAAAATACATACCCTGCATGGGAAAATATCCTCAACTTTATTACCTTGTTTAGGGCAAAGGACAAAATGCACGCCGTCTTGTTTTAAAGCCCATTGGCAATTACAAGAGAGCAAATTCATGTTATAGTCATTGCTTTTGTGTACTTGGAGTAGAAACAAATTTCATCAAGCAATTGAAATCAACCGTGGAGGCAAACCCTGTTTATAATTAGGACAGACTCTCTCGAAATTATACACCCTGTTTAGGACAGAGAGGCAAAAGCCATACCCTATCCAATGGCACATCAACGTATGGGCCATATCAGGGATTACAATCCCCGTGGCCAAACCGGGTAATCGCGGTCGAGTTGGTGTATTCTCTCAAAAAGAGACGGTTTTAGCCTTGCAAAATGGAGTTTCGACAACTTTAACATTAGTATTGCCTGCTGCCAGGACATCTATACGGTCGCTACTTCATCCAGGAAAAAAAAAGGCGATAATGACCACTTTCACTCAAAATTTGCCATTATCGTCTTTAAGGAAAACAGTTTTCCTTTTCTGTTGTCTAGAATGAACAAACTCGACCGCGATTTCTTGCATTGTCAGCTTTCGTCGCTTGCTTGCTCCCCTGAGAAACCACGTGACATTGCTGTTGAAAATAATAGCACTTTGACATTCATTGATCAAAATGGCAGACTCAAAAAAACACTTAATTAATATACCTACATTATCATATTTTAGTGACGAGCACAACGTAAAGGTTTTGCTGTAGCTCTGAGAGTCCTTCTTCATTACTTCCTATAGAAATCAATTTTGTCGACGAAAACAAAAGTATGGATAAACTTCCAGTCTCGTTACCTAGATCCCCGATGCGGAAACCAAGGTCTTTGCAACTGGCCTTGCCCGTCTTCTCATGTGAACACAATTTTTATCGCGCCACTACTATTTCATTTCATTAAGCGGTAAGCCACCTAAGATTTTAATTAACTACCGCTGTGTTGGCTATTTACTAAGTACGGGATTTTTCTCTCACAGCCAGATGGGACAGAGCTCTTCCATTTCGTTGACGGATATTCATCTTGGGATGCTTACCTCACGAGCATGATGACAGATGGTACATGGGGTGATCACGTGATTCTACACGGTGCAGCAAACTGCTTTGAAACATGCATTCAAGTGGTTAGTAGTCATCACGATGACGTAATAATTTGCCCAGAGTATGATGTTACTGCCAACAACCGACTCGTGCTGGGTCATGTGCACGAGCTTCACTATGTCAGCCTCATTCCACCTAAAGAAGGTACTCAAGGCGTTTGATTTTAGCTACGGTAACAACCATCAACGACAGTCGAAATAAAAGAATGTGTATCGGAAAAACCGATATGGTTAAAAATTTGAGCGAATATTGAATAAAAGTTTCCTCGCTTTTCTTTTGTTTCTTTGCTTCCAGTGTGATATTCTAATCGTTTTGCGGTCATTAAAAAGGTTGCGGTTTGTTCTACCGCTTAGTTTGTTATATCAATATCAATTTTTCCATACAAATGTTTACATTGCAGGGCGTAAGAAGCAATGTTCACACTCAGACCTATTTACTGTTAAATCGTATTTATTGCATTCATAACTCAGACCGTCAATGTAGACTTTTGTTTTCTCCGTAGAAACTGCAAGTTACCAAGCAGAAGTCACTGTTACCCTCCTTGAGAATGAGGACCTTCCTACAAAATCATTGCCTTGGAATGATGGCCTTCTCTTAACTGACATGTTGTTGCTAACGGTGGAGGACTGTGAATTTCTGAGTTGCCTTTCGTGTTTGAATTCCAGTTTCTTTAAAAGCTACAGGAAAGACCTTGGATACGTGTACTTCGGGGATATTGGAGAAGGTGAAATAAAACTAAGAATTGCTGTAATGAAGTGCTGCAGGGGCTCAATCACTGCTGGAGGCTCTGCGGTTTCTGTATTGGCAGCTGTCAGAGGCCTGAGGCCTAAAGCTGTGTTTCTAGTGGGTGTCTGCTATAGCCTAAAATCCAGTAAAGTCAAACTAGGCGACGTGGTTATTTCAGAGAAGTTAATAACCTGTGTTCCATCCAGTGAGCAGTTCGGAGACAAAGTTCCTTTGAAATCCCTTCCTTTAAGGATGATCCCTAATGCTGGAGATGGTTGGAAAGCGCCTTTGAAAGATCCCAAAGCACTTGAAGTGAAAGTACATCGTGGTGATATTCTGAGTGTTCCGGGGGAGATTGATAACAAAGAATGCCGCGAGACACTCATCAAGCGATTTCCACAAGCAGTTGCTATGGAATTAGAAGGGCTAGGTAAGCATACAGTCACACAGATATTACATAGCCTACAGAAAAGTCGTTACCTGAAAAATCAAAGGCGGGATGTTTGGGTTACTTTTTCCCCAATCAGACCAGCCCTCAGGGTCCATTGAGTTACAATAACTGAACCAAGATTCTACCATTGCCCTGTAAACGTCTAACTCTTCAATTGGCTCAGATAATTTTAAAAATGGCGACGTTTTCGTTGGCGAACATAAACCAACTTCCACTACAACTTCCTCTAAAGACCTTGACACTTCAAAAGGCATTTAGTTAAGTTTTTAATTCATTTTTTTTTCTCTCTTTCCTAAGTAATGTTTTAATTAGCAGCTGCTATCCCATATCAATCTCCATTCAACGCTAACGGAAACTTTTCCTAGTTTAGTTTTAAAATAAATAAATAAATAAATAAATAAATAAATAAATGAATAACACATTGAAGCAAATTAAAAACAAAACCAGCTTTCTGTTAACCACTTGTCTAAATTTGCATGTCTAGCCTCTCCCCATGTAACAGAATCCGGATTCCGGAATCGGGGAAATTTTTGCTTGCGGGAACGCGAATCCTGGGCTTTGGAATCCGAAATCCCACTTACGATAAGGATTAGAATCCGGAATCCAAGTTCCAGTGACAAAGAATCC